GACAGACTGTGTTGTTCTCGTGGACATCCTATCAAAGCCATCAGTCGTACCACAGTGTTCTTGTGGTCGTGGTATGACAGACTGTGTTGTTCTCGTGGACATCCTATCAAAGCCATCAGTCGTACCACAGTGTTCTTGTGGTCGTGGTATGACAGACTGTGTTGTTCTCGTGGACATCCTATCAAAGCCATCAGTCGCACCACAGTGTTCAAAGACGGCACAAGCACACAGCCAGTCGTAGAAATGCCGTCTTGTTGTGATCACTGGATCAATTCTCTGTGAGAACGACTTCTCCTGTATTTGTTTTGTCGGGTTCCCTGTGGCTTTGTTTCTGTGAGACAGCTGCGGACAAATACTTGTTGTTCGTTGACACAGTATTGTAGATCTATACTGTACCAGAAAGTTTCACGATGTAAGTCATACACACACACGTAGAGTTTACACGGATGTTTATGACCTGGAAGCCTCCGTATCGCGGGCAAGATGTTTTGTTATTCGAAGCCCAGAAAGCTACATTTTTCAGAAGACCCCCATCCCAGGGCAGTGCCACTGACTGAAGTTGTCTTTAGGTCATTCCCAAGGGGGGTTATTAACATGTTCTTATACACAGTAGAGTTGTAAATGGGCTGATTTATCAAAGTCATGCTCATACTGTGCCGGAACGACATAGGGGGGACTGCTGCTTTTTCTTTCCTCATCCTTACTATCGTCATTTTTCTTCTACTTCTTTTGTATGTTTGTCACACTCTTGTGACCTGCTATTTCCGGGGTGGCTTGATAGTCGAAGGAGACTTTGTGCTGTTGAGGCTAGAGAGGTGAGCAGAGTAAGCCTGATTCCCTGTAAGGACTTCTATGTTGACATCCGCCCCTTGGCGCTCATATGACCTTAGGCTCTGGCCACACTGTGAGCAGAGCGGGCGCAGCAGAGCGCAGCTGTTTGAGGCGCTAACATTGGGGGCCACACTGCAAGCGGAGCGGGCGGTGCAATGCAACGTCATATGGCGTTATTTTTTCATATCAGTTTCAGTTGCCCATGGATAGGAAATGACTGGCGTTATTTGTCCTGGTCGACCAGGAGACTCAACAGATAAAAAGCAAGAAAGAAATGGGTGCACCCGAACATCTGACAAAAATTTCTTCCATTGATATCTGAATAAAAAGAGGGTACAATGAGAAAAGGATCAGAATAATACGATGGAGAGGCATCTAATTTCTTTTTAAATTTTATCATTTCTTATTAATTTTCTCTCGTGCTTTATCCTGTTGTGGTGAATGGGAAATAGGAACATAATACATTAATAGCCATAGCTTCCTCAGCGTGCTTAAAAGCAAATCAACGATAATATCTAAGTTTTGCAATATACAGAAAGTTTTAAACACGTAACTAAACACACGTACACATGCATACGCACACATACACACACACACACGTACACACACACACGTACACACACACACACACACACACACACACACACACACACACACACACTCTCTCTCTCTCTCTCTCTCTCTCTCTCTCTCTCCCTCTCTCTCTCTCTCTCCCCCTTTCAGACACACGATAACCGAACCTACATCTGTGGTCCTTTTTGCAAGGAAAAATCTGCTCTTTAGCTGAGAGAGAAAAGCAGATTTTATTCCCCGTTAATTCCCCATAATCCCCCGCAATGACTTATTTTCAGACACCAAGTAGCTCTTGCAGCCCACAATGGCTCTCAGTGCGCACATTTAACAGTTTTATATTTCCAGTAAATCACGTCCTGTTCTCCCTCCTCCATCACTTTTTCT